TTACATGTCCAGCCCTGAGCTCCTATCACACTGCACTGCTCATTAGCTCTGCTGCAAGTTTTAAAAGTGAGAGGTGTTGGATCCTTCAGTGTTGCTCCTTTTTTAAGATCCTGTGGGTATTCCCTGTTCTTTGCAATTCTATACGACTTTTAGGATCAGTTTGGCAATTTTTGTAAAGAAGCCAGCTGAGGTTTTGATAGACATTGCATTTGCTAGTAACTGAACAGTGCTGTCTTGAACTTCACATACTGAAGCCTTAACCTCCACTCTGATGGTATTTGGGAATGTGGCTGTCACACTAATTTTGCTTTCCCTTTTCCCTTCTTGGGAGGCTCCTTCCCAAGGTCCCAGGCTCACAGACTAACATAAGATATTTTTGGTTTGGGTTTATGGTAGGGAGTGCAGGGTGACTTACAAAGAAACCGCCAGGTGCGCCCGGTGCAGTCTCCTTCAGCTTTCACAGTGTCACCCCAGGTGTGTAAGTGCCCCATCTAGCTTCCATGCTTGCAGGACACCCCAGCCACCTTCACCTTTCTGTTTCAATCTCCCACTACATTGACTTGTGTGCCACCCCTCTTCCCAGGGTGCCCTGCTGTCGCCTGCAGCTTCTCAGAGGAGAAAGTCAGGAGGATTAAGTCGTTTCCAGGCTATAGTGGTGCTTGTAAGCTAATTAGGCTTAGATGAGGTCTTGAGGGTGGAGCCCTGTAAGGGCGTAGTATTAGTACCCTTATAAGAAGATATGCCAGAGAACTTTCTTTCTCTTTGTCTCTCTATTTCTGCCTCACCTCGGTCTCTCTCCCTCTCTCTCCTCTCTACCATGTTGAAGGTACATTAAGATGGTGGGTCATCTGCAAGCCAGGAAAAGTCTTCATTAGAACCCAACCATGCTGGCTTCCTAGTTTTGAATTTTTCATTTTTCAGAAATATCAGAAAATGAATCTCTATTTTTTAAGCCACCCACTCCGTGGTATTGTTATGACAAGTTGAGCTGACTAAACATTACATGTGTTGATCCATTTTTAAAATTTTTTTTATTTTTATTTTTTTTTGTGTATGAGTGTATTGCCCGCATGTATGTGAGTGCACCCGTGTCGTGCAATGCCGCGAAGGTCAGAAGAGGGCTTCGGATTCCCCTGGATCTGGAGTAAGGATGGTTTGTAGCCCCCATGTGGGTGCTGGGAATCGAACCCGGGTCCTCTGTAAGAGCAGTCAGTGCTCTTAACCACTGGGCCATCTCTCCAGCCCCTGTGTTGATCCATTTTAAGGGAGTAGCTATCTTAGTAATACTAGTCTCCTGACTCATGAATATGTGATGACTTTTCATTTGCATCTTTAATATTTTCTAATTGTCACAGTTTACTCTTGTAAGTAGAATTGATTTTTATATTTATCTATCATCTATCTATCACCTATATTTATTGCGTGGGGGTGTGCATGACGTGGTGCACATGTGGAGATTAGAGGATGACTTACAAGAATTGGGGTTCGCTTCTTTCATCATGTGGGTTCAGGGGATCTGACTCAGGTAGGTCATCAGGAATCATGGCAGATGCCCTACCTTCGTAGGTTTTGCTATGAGATCATGTCACATGCAAACAGAGATAGTTTTCCTTCTTTTCAATTTGGATATCTTCAATTTTCTTACGTCACTGAGCATAAATGTGCAGTACATTGTTGAGGGGAAGTGGTGGAGGCAGACAGCCTTGTCTTGTTCTGATCTTACAGGGAACCAGTTGGTCTTGCACCATTAAATATGATGTTATCTGTGGGTTTGCCCCTTTCAGAAAATTAGTTCTGCTGAATATATAATCCTACGTTGACATTTTTTGATCAATACATGAAAAATAGCATCCTACTGATTTCTGACTTGTTTGTTGCTATTAAAATGTCAACTGTCAGCCCATTTGCCACTCATATACAGATTAGCTGTCTTTTATTGCTGGCTACTTTTAAGATAATCTCTTTATTTTTGAGGATCCGAGGTTTCACTCTGATATATGTAGGTTGTTTCTTTTATATTTTTCCTGCGGGGTTTTATTATACAGTTATTATATAATGGAAGAAAATTCCAGCATACAGTCTTTGAGGTTCCGACTCTGATCTCATTGTTTCTGTTCCCTCCTTCCAGTGTTTGTGATTTTGACCATGAGTTACCCATTTTTCTATGGGAATTCTTTGAGGTCTGGAATAAAGTTGAGTTCTCCCCCAAGAAAGTTATCATTTTTTTTTTTTTTTTTTTTTTTTTTTTTTGCCATTTGTCAACTGTGAAACTTTGACTCTTTTTTAAAAAACTCCTACCAGTGCTGGGCATGGTGGCACATGCCTATAATCCCAGTACTCAGAAGGCAGAAGGCAGGTGGATCTTTGTGAATTCAAGGCCAGCCTGGTATATGTAGTGAGTTCCAGGCCAGCTGAGGCTATAGGGAGACCCTGTCTCAAAAAGACCAAAAAACCAAAACAAAGACAAAAAAAAAAAAAGACAAAAAAACTCATACTGAATACACAGCATGAATATCATCCATGAATCATGTAAGGACAGAGTATCAACAGTGGCATACAAGTTTTGGTCCCTTCTACCTAGGAGCGAGCTTCTTTGCTGCCTTCTTCGCTCCTTTTCCAGAGCCAGTTTGTCTCTCACACTTCATGCACTGTGAACAGGATCTCCACAGGGACCTTGGCAGGGTCTGCTGTTACACTGTGGGCAGGCTCTAGCACTGTCTCTTTCTCCATGATTCACTTAGACATGAAGGTCTCTGAGATTTAACATAAACTGTTAGAATTAAACCTAGCATTGGCTGATACACTACCATATCACTTGTTTTCTGATCTCTGAGGATTCCTTTCTCTCATTTCAGCACAGTACATCATGATGAAAGAACTGTCACAGACATGCTTAGACATTTTATAGTTTTAAACAAGAAGTCTATTGAGGATGAGTAGTCTTAGTGAAGGAAACCCTGTCAGGGAATGCAAACCTCCAGACCGCTTTGTCTCATGTGTCTAAGATTGGCTTTCACCAGTTTGTTTCACCACTAAGCAACTGACCAGGAAAATACTCAGAAAAATAATTTCCCCCCTTAAAATCTTCATCAAAAGACACTCTATAATCTCCTCACAGCAGACTGTCTATATAACCAAATTATTCTTTTCTTTGCATTCACCTCTTGAGATCTGAGACTGCAGAGCCTCTCATAAAAGGCAAAGTCTTTCTCCAAGAGCTTGAATCTGGGTTGGCCATTGATTTGTTTTGTCAACAGCAGGACATGGGCAAGTACGACTCCAGCTGAGATGTGAAAGGTCTTAATCATTGAAGTTTGCTTTCTTGCTGTGCTTGAAGCTCTGAGACCATCCTGTGAGTACAGGCCAGCCTGCTGGAAGGTGAGAAGCCATGTGCAGGCACAGGTCCACAATTACATGTTAGTGTAAGCAAAAGGTAACTGCTAACAATCTCTTAGGAAAATTACTTGCAGTCACATGTGGTATCTCTTTCCTACAATAATTTTATTATTCTTATCTTTTGTCCCACATCAATTTCTAGAATCTAAACATACTCACCAAGATACTCCTCTATTTCAACTGTACTAAAGAGATTTTCCAATTCTTTTTTTTTGGGTCTTTTTGAGACAGGGTCTCCCTGTAGCCCCAGCTGTCCTGGAACTCACTATGTAGACCAGGCTGTCCTTGAACTCACAGACATCCGCCTGCCTCTGCCTCCCGAGTGCTGGGATTAAAGGCGTGTGCCACCATGCCTGGCCAATTCTTGATATAAAATTCAAATCATACAAATTAAGATATAGCCACATATGGAGAATATGAAATAGAGACTTCTGAACGCAGAGCCTTGTTGGACCATGAAGATAGGAGTCTAGGAACTTTCTCCAAGGCAAGGAAAGCCAATCTCAGACACATGAGACTGAGGTAGTTACTGATACGAAGAGGTCTGGAGGTTTGCATTCCATCAACTCGAGTGAATTCCAAATTGAATTCCATAAATTCAATATAACTCAATGGTATTATTGGATCCTCAGGAAATCAGTTCAGTATCAGTCTCATCAACAGAAATGTAGTGCTTGCTGTGTCTGGCAGGCTTGAGATGTGTGCTGTATTTTGGGCAACATCCTTTAGGAATGATAGTGACAAACTAGAATCGATCAAAGAGGAAGCCTGAAGATAATAGCACAGGCAGGAATCAACTTGAGGACCTGATATAATTTAGCATGGGAAGACCAGGTTACAAGTGTCTGCAGGGCAGTCATAGGGAACAGCCAACAAAATGAAGACTTCAAACTTTGTAAACACACACCTAGGACCAACATGCAGAAACAGGTTTTGGGTCAAACTCATGAGCTGCCCACCACCAGAATGGCTGCTCTGTGTTCGGCAGCCTGGATGCAGAGAATGGGGAGCACAACAGGAGACATCTGTCAGGACCCTGGGGGAGAGATATGACTTGCGGGTGAGAGGGCTGTCTTTCAGCTGAGGTCCCCTCCTTTCCTTCTGTTGTGACCCTTTCTCTTTAGGATTCTGGGCTAGGCTGAGTGCAGGAAACTGTGAATCAGCTGTGTGGGTAAGTCAGAGCCACGAAAGGTAACACCTGCTTCCAAGTGACATCCCTTACTAAGGCTGAAGTAACTCTTCTGCTAGACTTACCCTTTGAGGACTACCATACTGTTACAGAATAATAGGTTCGTCTCAAAGCCAGACTAGCTTACACTATCATTCACTCTCAAATTGAGTGGAAATTTGCCTTCAGGATAGTCTTTTTCTTCCTGGCCAGGACCTGTTCCTCTGAGGTGCCCAGGATCCCTCTTTCCCCCTCAACACCCATCTCTCATTCTAACCTCTCTCAGGGCCTAAGGGAGAATTCTTAAGCAGAGGCTCAGGAAAAGTCTGTTCAGGCCTTGGCTGTGTCACAACAGTTTGTACTTGCTGTTTGTGTCCCTGAGATTCACATGGCAGTGAGCATGGCCGGAAGGGGGCTGGGAAATCAGGCCTCCTACCTTGACAGGTGAAGCATCTGATGTGGAAGTGGTTGTTGTGGACACGAACCACTTCCCCTTTGCAGGTGTCTCCACATCGATAGCACTGGATGACATTGGAGCTGCCCCGGGGACTGTAAGGATTCTGCTGATAAGGAACTGTAGAAAGAAACAGGAGATCACTGTCCGGGAAGCTTGAATCTTAAAAAGTCTGCTGTAAGTCAGTATCATAATCTTAGCTGGAAAAAAAGCAGGAAGGATAGAAATTATTGGCGAAAAAACAAAACAAAAAATACCTCAGCAGATTGTGTGTGCCAAGCTGAGGTAGCATTAATTGTGTGGCACTGAGAGCTAAGTCTATAGCCTCCTTAAGCAGGCAGACTCAGGCAGACTCCAAATCACTGAATGAAGAGAAATGAAGGACTCAAGTAGAGTACATGTGCCGCATAAGAACATTTGGGCCGAGGTCACATATACGACAGGACCCATGACATCAGAATGGAGCTGGAAGTTCCTACTGCCTAGTGATGCTTGATCTGTAGTGAGGCTACTCATGTGTTTGTGGTAATATTGGTGCAGTAAACTCACTGCACTGTCACAGAAACGCACATACTGTTATGTATATAATACTTCACAATAATAAATGACCATTGCTAGTTTTGCCTTTACTGTGTGGTACCTTTTATTGTTATTTTAGAGTCAAGCTTCTTAAACTGTGGGTTGCAACTTCGTATGGGGGTCATAAAACTGAATGGGGGGGTCACAAAAATAATTGGCAACACTCAACAATTTCTGAATACTCAACAACCAAAATTTAATCCAAAATCAAGTTTGTAATGAGTGCAAGGTATTTATGGCAGCACTGGCCTACACTGATTGTGCGACTTCACTGAAGCCTTGTTTCTGATAACATTATGTGTACTCTTTGTCCTGCATGTATGTGGAGCCAGACAGTGCTAATGACACTGCCTCAAACACTCTGGCCCAGATTCAAGACTGTTATAGCTATTGTGTTAGAATGTTTGATTTTTTAAAAATTGCTATTTGAGTTGCTGACATGATTGCCTAAAAACTGTTAAATGTATTTTGACTTCAAATTGGGACAGAGTTTCCAGTAATTTTTGAAATGACCCTAAAGTTTTGCCATTTTGTACTACATATCTATGTACAGTATTTTCAGCATTGATGATGATAAAATCAAAATATCAGTGAACTCTGAAAAGCACTAAAAGGTCAGTATATCCTAGAGTATCAAATATTGACCAAGTCTCTATGTAGAAATAAACACATTCATCTCATCAGTATGCATATTTAATGTTGCTTTAATGAACACTAAATTCATTGCTGGCCGATCCTCTAGCCTTTTCTCTCCTTCAGTTCTCTTCTCTGTACAGAGTTGATAAGAAAGCAGGCTATGGGGCTGGCAAGATGGCTCAGCACGCAAAGCTCTTACTTGCAAGTCTGACAACCTGAGTTTGATCACTGGAATGCACAAGGTAGAAGAAGAGAACTGACTCCACAGAACTAACTTCCTGTGTGAAGCAATTTCCCTCCAAGGTAAGACCCAGGATGTTAAAAGGGAGGTAAGCAGCAGGATGGTTTAAGGGCAGTTGATATCTGGTTCTGTGGGGAAGTGCCTTAAACTCAGGAAGTAAACAACTTAATTCAGGAAGCCCCTGAAACTGATGAGCTTCACTGTTTCCCCTTCCTCCTCTGGCTTGTATATAAACAGTTAGGACTACTGAGACACTCAGACTTGCAGAGCTGCCTACAAGTTGTGCAGTGCCTCAGGGTTTCCCGGCTTGTCATCCGTGCCTGGGTGGGCTTACCTGTCTCAGTTAGTTCTGCTCCTATATGTAACCCTTTTCTCATATTCTTGTAAGTAGCACCAATAAAACTCAAAAATTGTTTTAAAGTAGTTGTTTATGGCTTATGATCAGTAAATTTTTGATTTCTATACCTACTTTACATACTTATATATCTGAACCCATGTAAAACAAATTTTGTTTTTGGCAAAAAGGGGAAGTGAGTGGAAAAAGTTCCTGAAGGTTTGGAGCATACTCTGCAGCCTCATACACTGCATGTTTATTGGGTCTCTTGACTGCATCCAGGGGCCATTTCTGGGGATCGATTCATAACATCTGTGTTTGTGCTAGTACATGCTAAGTTTGCACATTGACAAAATCACCCTACCTATTCTCTTTTGTTGGTTTTTTTTGAGGGGAATGGGGCAGGGATAGCGTCTCCTTAGAGTCACAGCTGGCCAAGAACTCATGTAGACCAGCTGGCCTTGATCTCGCAGAGATCTGCTTGCCTCTGTGTCCCAGTGTGTGCCGCCATGCTTGGCTTACTCGTCTCTCTCTTTTTTAATTTTTATTTATTATTTTTATTTTATGTGTATGAGTGTACTGCCTGCACGTGTGTAAGTGCACTTGTGTTGTTCAGTGCCTGAGGAGGCCAGAAGACAGTGTCAGATTCCCTGGATCTGGAGTTACAGATGGTTGTTAGCCACCATGTGGGTGCTGGGACTCAAACTTGGGTCCTTGGCAAGAGCAGTCAGTAGTCTTAACCACTGAGCCATCTCTCCAGCCCCTCTTCTTTTGTTAAAGACAAGAAAACAGGATTTCTGATTCTTTCTCATTTAAGGTATCCTGAATCAAAAGTGTGATGCAGAGCAAACAGCTGGCTGCTTAGCCCTGAAACTGGATTCTGATAAGTTTGCTAGCTAAAGTGGGAGAAAAATACCCATTAAAAATTTTTTTACAAAAATTTTATTGAGAATTTCATACATGCATATAAGGTGTTTTGATCAAATCCATGCCCACTCCCTCCCCTCCAACATTTCCCCCGTGAAGAGGTAACACTAAAATCTTTTAAGGATTAGATACAAGCTCCCAAATACTTTTGACATTTTTGGCCTTGGAACAGAGTATGTTGCTAACAGGCCCAAGGACATTTTGACTTTTAGCCAAGAAACTGGCTACATTTCTTTGGGGTCTTTTTGTCCTGCCTAGCCAATTCCTACCTCCTATTCTTATCACATCATCCTCTGAAGGGGTTACCCAAATCGCCAATAGGGAATAGGGACGCAGACCTCTCTGGCTTCTTCCATGTTAATACCCATTTTTTTAAAGACAGTCTCACTATGTAGATCAGACTGGCCTTGAATGTGAAATCCTCCTGTCTGCCTCCCGAATATTCGGATTACAGGGTCACTCCACTGAGCCTGGCTCCAGCTTATGTTCCCTTGTCTATTATTCATCTCTTTCTATTATTTTTATTTTTATTTTATGTGTACGAGTGTATTGCCTGGATGTATGTGAGTGCACCCGTGTCGTGCAATGCCACGGAGGTCAGAAGAGGGCATTGGATTCCCCTGGAACTGGAGTTAAGGATGGTTTGTAGCCGCCATGTGGGTGCTGGGAATTGAACCTGGGTCCTCTGCAAGAGCAGTCAGTGCTCTTAACCACTGAGCCATCTCTCCGGCCTCTCATCTCTTTCTTTACTGTCTTAAATTCAAGACAGAAAAATAAACTGAAAATAAATGAATTAGCTAGGTAGAGGAAATCATTAATTAACTCATTTGAGTAGGTTAACATGAAAAAGTACATTAAATGCATTAAGGGCTGGAGAGATGGCTCAGCAGTTAAGAGTACTTGCTGCTCTTGCAGAGGACCCCAGTTCATTTCCCTGTACCCACATCAGGTGGCTCACAACTACCTGTAACTCCAGCTTCACAGAACCCAGTGTCTTTGGCTGCCACATGCACCCATATGTGCAAACACACACACACACACACACACACACACACACACACACACACGCCCTGCAAACATTTACTGGAATCATGACCATCACATTTCATAGCTCAGGGCAGTCTTTCCTCCACCTAGACTATCCCATGGCACATTCTCTGTAGTCGTTCCTTTTTCTTCCTTTTCTAATGATTGCTGTGCCCCCTGGAAAAATATTACACACTCTCTTCTACAGTTTGTGAGAAAATATAAATCCTGTTCATATGAGCAGCATGGTGGTACTCCACTGCCAAGGGAAGCAAAGCTGTGAGCCTGGAATGAAATAAGAACAAATAGTACAACCATCTCCATCAGTGAGAGCTTGGAAGGCGCTCAGATTCCCTCCAGAATCACAGCACATGTGTTCACCAACCTCTTCTATCCAATCTGTCTGATAATTCAAGTGTACCATCCAATCAATGTAACTTTTTCTAATTTGACTGGGGAAGTGAATTTGTGAGCATGGTCTTCAGTCAGGACTCAATCTTTATGTCACCCAGATAGAAAGACATAAAATTGGAGGGGATGAGCTAGGAAAATGGGCCACTGGGGGCAGGAGTATTAACTCTGCCCTGGTCTCCAGGAGGACGATGTTGTATGTGGCCAGAACTTCAGAATTACATGATGTTTATAAATAAATCATTATCAGAAATCCACACATCCCAAGTGACAGTTCTGCCAGGCTGCTGACAGAGGCTGACTGCTAAAAGGGTAATGAGATTTGATCTTACAGATAGATGTAGCAAGACCCTTCCTTATCCAGAAACTCTGGAGTCATGGAAGCTGGACTGAGATGTGCCACATATGTCCCTGCCTTGGAAGCTAGCTTGCTTCCAGTGAGATTTTGTGTTTTGGACTAATTAGATTAGAACCTACCTTAATCTTATTCCGCATGTACGTGTATGGGGGACAGTGTGGGAAGCAGGAGCCACACCTCCCATGAAAGACTGATTTATTGCTATTGTTATTTTAAAAAATATTTTATTTATTATTCTTATTTTATATGTATGAGTGTTATGCCTGCATGTAGGTAAGTGCACCCATGTCATGCAGTGCCTGCGGAGGACAAAAGACGCTGTGGGATCCCCTGGAACTGGAGTTACGGACAGTTGTTAGCTGCCATGTGGGTGCTGGGATTCAAACCTAGGTCATCTGGAAGAACACCCAGTGTTCTTAACTGCTGAGCCATCTCTCCAGCCCTGTTATTGTTATTTTTATGTTGATGCCAGCAGAGAGAACTCAGGGCTTTGCACATGCTCAATAAGCATTTATCTCTCAATCATACCCCCACCCCAAATGCTGAAATTTGACTGTTAATCTACTGGTTATCTTTGCTTAAAAAAACAACTCAGAAAGTATTAAGGT